ATATCTATTATATCACAGTTCGCTACAGGTTGCTTAATTATTTGTATTACTGCGTTCTGCATAACTTTGGTAACACCAATGAATTTTTTATAAAATCCATTATCGAATAAAATATTAATAAGAGTTTTCTGTAGATTTCTCCTGTAAGTATGCTTGGACTATCGCTAATGTTGTATCAAAGTTGTATGCTGGTTCAAATTCTATTGTATTGTTGGCATGGAAATGAGATTATTGTACAGGTAATTAAGAATAAATAAATTTAGTCACTATTTGATATGTACTGCATTCTGTTGAATTCAAATTGCAAAATTTCAGCTTATGGACTTTTCGATTTGAATATTTATTTTACCTATATACTCCTAAGTTAACTACGACACCATAACTACGTTATGTGAAACGACAAAAGTGTCCACTAAAATAGATGTTAACAAATAATAGGAAAATTGTACATTGTATTTGTTTAGTTAATATAAATTAATTTATTTTAAATATATAATTCAAAATTATAAACAGTAAACGATATGGAATTAGAAAATCCAAGTATTGGTCGAGAACATCCTTTTAAGATAATAAATGATAAAAAATGTAAAGTAAAATAAAAAATGGCAGTATCTATTTTAGGAAGTAACATGAAATATAGAAGTATTTATCACGAATTTTACTATATTTACCGAACCATGCTAATTTCAATATTATTTTTAAGAGTGATGCCCTGTCGAAATATGCGTTCGAATCCGGTTGGTACCAAATTTCGAGAGAGCCCGGACTAAAATTATCATTGTCGATTATTCAAGAGAAAAACAAACGCCCTCTGAAAATTGCAGCAGGAAAAATATTTGATTTATCTATTGCCACTTTTATGTCAGTAAGTATTAATAAAATTCCAGCTATTTTATGAATATTGCCCTTAAACTTAAGCCAAATTATTAATATATGTTGAATCTATATTCAATCACAAATTAGTTAAATTTAAAAAAAAGATATAGCTATCTTCACTGAAACTATTTAACATGATTCCAAAACATTGTTTCACTATTTTAGAAATCAACTCAGAAATATTAACTTGTATAGTATCTACCTATAAGATGTTAATATAAACCCATCTGAGTCAAATTAAATTTCATAAAATTAGCCCACGATATGAATTTTGCAACCACAAATTCGAAATCCCTAATATAAGATAGATTTACTCTGATGTAACATGAAATTAATTGCGTAATCGAGATGGTTCCTCTAATGGATGTCTGATTTATGTTTAATTACAATCTTGATTCGATATCATATTGCACTTGTAATATAATGTTCATTTCATTCGCCAAATAAAATAATATATATATTCTAAACTAAATTGATCATCAGAGTTAATATATCAATTTGCATTTAATTAAAGAAAAGTTTTTCGTGTAAACAGATATGCACAATTATATAAATGAACTTAATTTATTTTTTACAGATCATAAAGTCATCATATTCAGTATTTGCAGTTCTTCAAAGATTGAATAGTAAATAAAATATTTTTTAGAATAAATATTTAAACGATAATTTAGTAATGTGATATAAATAAATATTAAATGTAGAAAATTTTTTATTCGTTTTTTTTCTTGTTTTACTACTCATTTTATATTTATTGGGATGCATAATTAAGTATTTGAATTGTATGTAGATAATTTAAAATGTAAAATAAAAATGTAATAAATAAATTATAAATGTAAAAAATGTTTTATTATTTATAAGTTTATACTTGGACGTGTTTGATCATAAATTAAAGGATCTCATCTTATGTGACTTAATTATTATTATAATTTAAATTCCAAAAATGATAAGCAGGTAATGTCTAAAATTTAACTCTAGCAAAAACTCAAGCAAATATGAACAAGTTTAAAAACTAAAATAAAAAAGCATTTGCTTAAGACAATTATAATGATTTTCTCGGTACGTGTTGTTAATAATCGACTTAATCAATGAGAAGTGAAATTAATTTTTTGATGTATGTATTTAAAAAAATCATTTTCAATTTTTGCTACTTCAGTCGTTTATGGTAAATCGAATTATATTACATAGTTAATGTAACAATAACTATGTTTTCTACTTTTGATGAAAAATTTACGTTAAAAGTATACCTAATCATAAGTATACGTGTATTTGCAACATAATATTTTATTACAAAACTTTCTATACGAAATCAATCGTAAAATATATCAACGCGCGAAATCAGAATCCTTAATATATTGCACAGGAGACATTTAGGTAAGTCACCCTCGCCCATATTCACAAGAATAATATTATGAATTTCATATCGTAAAATAAAATTTGTCTTACTTGTAAGGTTGACAAAACGCGGTTTCAGAACATGCGATTCATTATCATAAACGTGACTATTCGCGGAATAAAGACATTCCGCAGACTAGTCTGGCTGCCGTCGTGTTTTGATAGTATTACACTATGTAAAGTGCTTGTAAACAAATCGAGTCCGCCCATCAGTGATGTCAAACTTAATCGGTTAATGAGATACAATAATCAGACAATAATATTCATATATGAGTAGTTTAGTGCACACATCGACTAACTCCACTAACTTAAAATTTAGTGTCAAAACAAGTGGCATTTTTTCGCCACTTTTGGTCAGAAGCCTTTCAGTTCACTCCAAACAGCAATATATTTGTTCCGGCCAGATTTCAGATTAAAAATTCACGCATTTCAGGTATCATGAATTTAGAGTCCCGGTGGCAAAATCGTTTCGGACGTAGACTAGCCAGGACCAAGTCGACATCGGGCAGCTTTGATGTCAAAATTTCACTTGAGGTTATAGATATCAAATTTAATCTCAAGCAAAAATTGCATTTCGTGGCTATAGCTGCTTATATCTAATAAAAATGTCAACAAATATTTCGAGTATAGTTAATTTAGTCACAACTAGATTAGACAACCACTGGGTCCATTCAAATAAGCCAGATAAAAACGTCAAAACAAGTACTGAATGTCTCAGTATGATGGCTTATCTTTAGAAGTATAAAAAAAAATTTAGAAAAGTACAAGCCTTAGGTCTTTTTGGTCAAAAACTAAAAGGTTTTGTGGGTCTCAAGAAATTTGATCTCCTTTGATGAAGTTCATAATGACCACAAACTTTGAAAAAAAAAACATATTCGAATACGTGTACCGGGCAAAATAGGAGGAATCATGAAACTGACTTGAATATATTGAAACTTATCCGAAGCATAGAAATAAGAACTGAATAAATTCAAATAAAATTTTCAGTGAGTAGACACAACTATTAGCCAATAACTCAGACGTTTCATTATTGAATCAAGTATGATCAAAAAATAAAAAGACATTTTATCGCAAGATGATTGGTACGATGTAATGCCATGTAAAACAACAGAGCCCGTCAAGTTTTTTCTTAGAAAAACCTTTAGAACAATCGATTATTGAAAGAAAAGTTACCATTACAGTTTCCAGTGGTCTCAAAAACACTAGATGAAGTTAGAAGGATCCAAACTCCACCTCATAATAATAAAAAATGATTATAATAAAGATACAAAATTTGAAACTTCCAGTGTTAAAAAAACTGTAGAAAGTAGATCACTAAAATGATCATTAAAGTAGATCGCTAAAAATGGAAAATATTATTAGGCCTTTATTTTAGATGAGGATAGACTGGCAGATAATACTAAGAAAGAAAATAAACTTTATCATCAGAAGACCATAAGACGAATGCAAATAATAAATGTTAAATTTCCAAGTCAAATATAAAAATATGAAAAATACAGTTTCCAATGGAAGTAAAAGGACTTGATTACCAAATGGCCTCACGAAAGGCAATGTGCATGCTTGCAGACAATAATTTTTAACGTATGCAGAACGATAAAATAAAATCCAAAAGTATTTTGTTGCATGTACAAGATCCATAGATAAAATGTACAACTTTTTTCGCTTTTAGTACGTAAATCATCAATATGATCAATATCAATCATTTTAAATAGCTTTCATTGAATTACCGTGAATCGCTTTCATTATGCAAATACAGGAAATAAATCGATGAGCTATTCTTAGGGAACTAAAATTAAACTCTATTAATTTACGATTGCACCATATTGAATGCAAGTATCTTATCAATTTGAAAATCTTTCTATACTAATTATTATGGTTTCATTCATTTGCAACAAAATTGCGATGGAAAATAAAATCATTATAAAATTTAATTCATTTAAATTATTAAAAAAAATGTGCAATTTGACTTTAAAAATTGAAATATTAATTTTATTTATTAAAATTATTTTGCTCTTAATAAAGTTAGCTGTTAATCTGATAATATCTGATGGATTGACTAATTTGATCATAATAACAATAATAATAAATCGCTTCAAATATTGTGAGATGACTAGAATAAATTTAAATGATTTTGATTATTGTTATATATTTTTATAACAAAAAGATATTCGTTGAAATTAAATATAGAAGCAATGATGGTTGACACAAAGGTACTAAATATATTTATAGTGATGAAGACGATATATTTAGACAATCTCAATTGAGTTCAGATGTGAGACAACTATAGCATCGCATTCTCAAATACCGTTTTGTTTATGCAATTTTGATAACGAAGAATTTAAATTAAAGTTTCAAAAATATCCTTTAAATCAAGTACATTGTACAACAAACAACTGTGTTAGAATATTGCTCCTATTTTTTATATCGCTTTTCCGGGACACACTTCTGCCATCACTTAAGCATATAAATAGGTGTAAGTGGCAATTTGCCTTAAACCACGAAAATATTGAATTTTTTATAAAACTTGTACCTTTTAAGAAACGGCCTATTTTCTTAAATTTTAATGATTTTATATAATCAAGAAAACTCTCGTGATACAAAGTTTTATCAAAATCCCAAAAGAGTAAACCTGAGGTCACCACCCTAGTGAATATATTCGATTCTCATGCTGACTATGTGTCAGATAAGTAAAATAATCATCAGTAAACAGTATTTATTTATCTATAACTTACCTAATAGTGCCTGGAAGAGTCTGCTTTTGAAGATCCTAATTACCCGTTCTATGGCAGCACGCAGCTGTTTGTCCTGAGGACCCACGAGACGCACGTGGTAGTCCTCCAATAATTCGAGTGCACGATGTGCTTCTGAAAATTAAGCAAAATTGTTAGATACATGATTTTCTAGCATGAAAGTACTAATTTAGGATGTGATAAATATGAATCAATAAACTTCAATATATGTATATAATTAGAAAAAAATTATTTGTAAAGTTTGTTATTACTAAATGCATGATTTATTTGTTAAAAAAAAACTAATGATCAAAATCAAATTACGATAGCAAAAATTAGGCAAAAAAAATTATTTTGTTGATCGATGTAAAAATCATTGATTGAAACAATGTTCTACGTGAGATACAAAATAAGCATAACGCTGATTGCTTATAGTTGGGTATTATACACAAGCAAAAGCTGCAAAAGGTATAATACATTTATGGTAATCAATATAGTATTAAAAAGTGATTTATTGTTTAAATAAATAACAGGTATAAGGATTATTATTTTTTACGTGAATTGACAATTTAGCTGTATAAATAGTAATCAAAATCGTTAATCGTACATTAAAATTATATACTATTAGAAGCATCGTTTTCATAAATTATAGCAGAGAAACCGTATTCGAATTTTAAAAAATACTATAATAAGAGTGCGCAATTTATTTAAGCATGTGCAAAGCAAAATCCTAAGACAGCCTAAAGACCTAGATATGTTCTACCTTAATCTATATATATATATATATATATATATATATATATATATATATATATATATATATTGTTTGATTTTGAATTTGATGCTGACATATGTATTAACAAGTCTAGTAATCGGCATTAACATTGTTTTTTATTGATGTTATGCCCGATTACTAGACTTGTTAATATAATATGTATATATATATATATATATATATATATATATATATATATAGGGTGGTGCTTAATATGAACATTTTTGAATTCCATTGCTACCAAGGGCTCAACTGCTTCCACATTATCAAAAAAAATATATAAAAGTTTTAGCTCTTAATATTAACATTTAAATAGTCCGCAATTCAATTAAAAGCTTGTATATTTATTATTAACATATATCATTAAGCCAATTCTTGCGCTGTCTGTGAAAATTTGGGAAACTGTTAGGTACATCAAAGGACAGGTTTTCGGATATTTTGATTGAAACCAAGAGGTAGAGGTTGGCCGCCTCGAAGACTTCTTTTAATTTTTATTTGCCAATTTTTATTATTTTATTTTATATAATGCGTATATATAAAAAACATATATAACCGTAAATTTTCGACTTCCTACCACAAGCCCCTATTTCATAATAATTATTATAATAATTATCATTTTTTTTTTAAACCATATACTTTTTATTTGTATGGTTAATTCATCTGGTATACACACAAATTTTCGCTACACACTGATGTTTATTCATTTATAACTGTTTACTAGATGTTGATCCATTCACAAATTTTAAAAACTGAAACCCTGTACATATTTTATGAGCAATCAAATGTGCTATTAGTCATCAAAACATTTCTCTAAGACGGTACAGCAGACGAGAAGATACTTTTGCGTGCATCAAGAATGTGCGAAATGTCGCCGGCGCTACACGCGCTAAACAGGTCAGCAAGAGTATATTTTTGGAGAGGCGTAAAATGCCTTAGACATTATTATTAGTTTATTTGTTGCCCGCCATTGTTTAGTATTAGTGTTTTCTATATGTTTCATTTTTCCTACACCACTATTTTTCCAAAACATAGAAGTAATAGTGATAACTGCATGTAGTTAGCCTACAAATGTAGTTAGCATGTCAAAGCTAACTACTGGAGCTTTTGTTATGTAAACAAATATCCATTTAAACACAAAGTTCACGTAGGTCCAATTCAAACTTAAACTTTTGAAATAAACTGTGAATTGTAACAATCCTATTTACAAAGTAGATGATGGATAAGTATTTAGGTAGAAAAATTTGACACTGTTAAAAAATCTGCATCAACTTTTCTGCTTTACTTCCAAAAATAGCTAGCATGGTTTTCCTAAAATACTCGGACAAACAAACTCCTTTAAATAAATTTTGAAACGTAAAATTTACTTCATCCGAAGAATTAAATGCATAAGAAATATTTTTGCAAAATGCATAAGAAAGATTATCCCTGACCCTGAGTTAATAAAAGTATTTGAAAATGATTAGGAAAAATTTGAAGGACAATTAATATTTGAGGTTTGTATAATTTGAATTAAAATTTAATATGGAAAATAATATTTATCACAATTTTTTTCAAATTGAAGCCTCATTATTCGAATATGTTACTCCTCAATACGAATTTTATAGCAAACAATTTCAAGTTACAAATGATGTGATTAATATTGACGATTGAGAATGTATTCTCTAATAAAATTTTAAACAAAGTTGGAAAGTAAACATTCAAAGTATTTTTCTTTCATATTTTTGTATGAAGTTTTTCCCTGGATTAGTGGTTAGAGCTAAGGGACTTCAATCAGAGATTTTAGACAAAAAAAATATATCTTTATTTAAAGTCCAGATGGAACAAATTCTCCGCCATGAAGACGAATAGAGTATCTCAGACGTTTTAGAAAGCAATTGATTGATTATATGAAAAAGATAGATTGAATAATAGATCTGCATTGGTTTGTAAGTGATGAAGAAAATAAAAAGAATTTTGTTTGAATATAAATTACATTTACCCAAACATAAGTTACTTATTAACTTATTGTTACAGTACCGATTTGATCTAAAAAAGTTATTCAATTTTATTACTTCAATATTGAATAAAACACAATTGATCTCTAATTAAACCCAAATATTATATTTTTTTGAAATTTGTAGGTACATAATTTGTTGATTCTAATATTGCATACGAAAAGATAATTTTCAGTATTTAGTCAAAATGAACAAATGAATTTAATGGACAAATTGCAATTATTATTTCCTATATATTTCTAGCTGTATATATACATGATATATTTTAAATGTATTTGACAGGAACATATTTGTAATTTCGTGTATAAAAGTTATAGTAAAGCAATCGCACCAGTTGGATGCTAGCCAAAAAACGAAAGTATTATAAAAAAACATCAGTGTACATTGTATTCTCTCGAAAGCCTATCTTTTATATCTGGTTCACAATCTGAATTACATAAATTAGTCGTTAAAAATGTCACATTATTTGTGCTGCCTATTAATAAAGGATTCATATGAATATTTTTAGAGTTTCATCCATTTAATTGGCAGGGTTCTTGTGATTTTGTTTTTGTAAAATTTTGTGTCATCAATTGTGAAAACGTCTACGTCTACAATATCAAACTAATTAGACAAAACATTTTTTTTATTAAAAAATATTTCAATAATGTGACTGCTTAAATTAACAATTCTATTGAAGTTGATATTAGAATTGTCAATCAAACTATGCAGACATTTAGATCCATCCTTATAAACGAAAATATCACTGAAAAATATTTGTTCAGGGCCATTTTCAGGATTATATAATTTTGCTAAATTTCAATCAAATTAAAAATAATTTCTGGAAACTCCAGAGTATATACAATTTTATCGAATTCCAAAATCACAATTTTAAATCTTTGTTCAAACATCAAACTCTTTCAAGGTACTCAGTTCATTTCCTTAACACATTTACTCAGATACTTAGATTTTGTCACCATAGTTTCGAAACCCATAAAGACATCAAACAAAAGATAATAGAGTACCTAATTAAGGCGTCCAATTAGGAAGACACTTAATATTCATTGTGAGATTGTCAAATATCCGAGTTACTTGGGAATAATTTGATCATGATCGTGGTGTTGGTGAAGTTTTGATTTTGGAGACGTCGGAAAAAGCTCTCAATATATGTACAAATGTGCATATTTAATAATAATTAGTATTGTAAAATAGTATCATCGCTTAATTTTATCGGGTGTTCGGGCAGAAAAGTGTGAAACAAACGTTATTAGTTGTAGAATTATGATTGTTTATTTCATTGAATGATAAGTTAAAGCTTTCGAATAAAAGTCCGAATGTGTACTTATCATATGCATCTATAAGAAGACAATTTATTAATAAAACGCTTCATCCAAATTCCATAGTCCTTCATTTTCAAGCAGAGAAAATAAATAAATCAGTCCTACAAATGAAAAAACTCGAATCCTGATTAAATTACAATACTCTGAGCACATATAAAACCTCCGAAAGCTATTGGCTATTCGACTGAAAACTTCTATACTGGAAATATAAACGATTTTTCACGCCGTTGACCTAATCATTACAAACAGCCGAAGGCGCTCCGGAATACTACTGATCGTAAGCTCAATCATAAAGCTGAACAAAATATAAATGATATTTACCCGACCATATATATATATATATATATATATATATATATATATATATATATATATATATATATGTACGTGAAAGTTTCATAAAACGATTGGGAAAGATCATATAAACCCTTGAAGTAATTGTTTGACAACTATTTATTCATAAAAGAATAAAATATAAAAAAATAATAAGCTGACCAAATTAGCCAATATCGACAATTAATAATAGTAGAATTTTACTAATCCGACAACCTCGCGACCTAAGCATGGTCAATTTTTGGATTTATTTTCGAAAAAAACCCTCCGTTTAGAGTAGTTACATTAGCGAGATTCTACTATATTTAATCATTAGAGCAATGTAGATAAACAACAAATTATATGTATAAAAAAATGCATAACTTGAAGATGCTTAATATTTGTTTCTTCAGTTGTTTTTGTTTTAATTGTTTGGATTTGAATTTATACAGCAAAGTTAATTGATTTTGGTAAATTTAGCGTAATTGTTGCTTTTATCATTCGTCAAATCCACAGATCTTTATATCAATTTAACAATTGAGTTGTTGAAAAAACAAGAATGATCCTTGTTTATATATAATAGTTGTCAAATTATCTATTCACTTTTTTATAGAAATTAACGAAATTCCGCAAACTATTTAAAATTTCAAATAGAAATAAAATAAAAATGAAAATAAAAGCCAATGATCTTATGGCACACAAACACTGGCTACAGAAGTTTTTATATATTATTCATAAGAACTGAAATGAAAAAAAGTATTTTGTTTTTGAATCTAATAGAAATATTCGACATGACATCAGTTTTCATCAACTTTAAGGTCATACAACTGAGTGACATTAAATTGGCTTAACGCTGTACAAAAGAGTGCATTCTGTAATAGTTGTTCCCTGCTTGTGGTGTAGGTATATATTATCGATTATAAAGATACCACGTCGTTCGTACTAAAAGCTTTTTCCGCACATTCGTAACACGAAGATAGTAATTCACATATGATGGCATGTTCCTAAAACCTGCATCGACCTGATCTCAGGAATCGATACTGGAATTAAAGTGCAATCGAGGAAACACATGACTTAACCGGAGAGCACGTGACCTAGAAAAGCACGGCGCGCAGTTATAGGGGCGCTGGACCACAAATCGTCTCCCTCGCATTGCGCATGCCCGTTGCGCTATTTACGTTTTTTTCGCGGTCGGGTTAAAAATACACCTACGGGCCCAGGCTACGCTAACAACTAACACGCGTTACGTATATTTCTTTGCGAACCAACTAAAAACACGCTGCATCATATGATTTCACTGATCACTTGAGTTTTGAATGAAAATTTCCTTCCGCGCACATTTTGAACTGAACCGAACGAGCATTTCGTTCGATAGTTCGGACACCTGGGTAATTGCGGACACAAACTTAAACTCGCATGGGGCACACTGTGTTTTATGTAACACGCGGGGTGCATTGCTTGGCGAGGGAGCGATGGAAAGCAGGGGTCGTGCAGCGATCTATTGCGCCGCGTGACATATGTGACAGAAGATCTTACCACCTTGCTTTCGCACTGGCATGTTTAATATTTCGATTAAGTCGCCGGCTCTGTCGAATTTGACGATCGTCGGTCGATTTCGTCGAACACTTTTCACACACACTCGCGACTTTTTTTCGGTCTCAACGCGGCGAGTACGCTATGCGCGATATGTCGCCGATTTGGAACGACATCAGAAAGCGAACTAGAAAAGTTATCCGAACCAGCGAACCAGACACCGCGCGCTATCAAGTCACCAAAGTCCCCGTGTCTGAGACCAACGACAGCGAGATGGATCTACGATACGAGGCACGGAAGCAGAGCAGTCGTGCGCTGACAGCTGACCTCAGGACTCGCGAGCGCGTACTGATACTATATTTTTCGATCGGCCGTGACGTCAGAAGCATTGCGATTGCAACGGGGGTTGCCAAACTTCAAACGCACCGCCGTCAGGGTTGCCATGCTAAGGGATCGCAAATCGGTAGTGCGAACCAGGCATGGGCAGGAAAATCATTACATGTCTGTGATAAGTGTTGTCTGCTGTCTGTAGAATCTAATTCGATTCCAATGGATTTATAGTATTTGCAACTATTTAGTGAAACAGAAATAGTTCATTGTGAATCAAGTATTTTTCACAAAGGTATGTTTGAATGAATATAGCTTGAAAAAATGGTGCACATGTGGAAAATCAATAATCTTTGTTATAAATTATGCAATCATTTGCGATTGGAACTATTTGATGCTCATAATTTCATGATTTTATTTTATGTTTCTAAATCTAGTTGGCACGGTAATAATGCCAAGTTTTGTTTTCAAATCAGTATTAAATTTGATTTCGATACGAAAATACTTTCTGTACAATACAAGATCCGTATAAATATCAAAAATACCACGGAAAGATGAAGCGAGCACACGTAAATATTTTAGTATTAGTATTAATACATATTTGATATTTTTATAACAATAGTATAACCCCATTCCCAATTTTCTAACTCAATAAATAATTTGTAATTATTCCTAACACTTTGCGTTTTAAAATACTGATCTATTAATTTTTGATTAAAATATGTTAAATTTGCAACATAATACTTTCTCGGTGATAAGTTTGAAATTGTGCACATGCCAGCATATTTTTTATATTTTATAATAATTTTAATACATCATTCTAATATATCTCATATATCAATTCTAATATGTCTTAATACTTATATTTTACACTTATTCTAAATCTAGTATATAATTATTGTTAAATCTCTTTCAAATCATATATCATATAATTTTTTGTATAAATTAAATAATAAATAGACCCCAAATAAATTTATTTGGGGTCTAATTCTTGAATAGGGTTGTCGGAGAAGTTATAGCTTTAATATTTCTCAATGGCATAAAAATGTTTTATTTTAAAATTTGTTTAAGTTATTTATATTTTTTTTTATTTCCTAATTCTCTTATACTTAATGGCAGTTTGTTCAATCGTATTTGACCCAGTTCACCTAAAGTAATAAATGAAGGAGTTTTAATGTGGGATTTGAATTTAAATTTAACAAATTAGAATTATTTTTTACGATACACAGGGTGATTGGAATAAAAATGCAAGAAGCGGTTAAGATCTTGTGCTCATGAAAGAAAGGTCGACAAGATGTAGTGGACGATAGGAAAAACATAACTAATTCCTTTTTTCTGTAATTTCTGTAATATATAATTAATGATGATCTGATATTATGTCATTGAGTAAATTTCAGAAATTGTTATTAGTATGTTTCTGCATCGAGTATTCGTCCACTTCAATCTCTGCATTTGTCCGCAATCAAGTGTTTCGCTTATTCCTTTTTTCTGTAATTTCTGTAATATATAATTAGTGATGATTTGATATTATATCCTTGAGTAAATTTCAGAAATTTCTATTAGTATGTTTCTGCATCAAGTTTTCGTCCACTTCAATCTCTGCATTTGTCCGCAATCAAGTGTTTCGCTTATTGATTATTCGAAAGGCGCGCTCGTTCGAAACATGTTTCGCGCTCTTATGTTGTCCTCCTGCTTGTCACAGCAGCTGTTTTCTTTCAATTCCAGTCAGAAATGCACAACGGGAGAAGAACCAGCAGTGGTGCTTGTGCGAGTGAAATTGAGAAAATGGATTTTAAAATGGCTGCCGGCTGCTGTGGAACAAAGAAACAGAAGTTAAATCATTGTTCCAATTCCTCACAGTGCAATGGTGATTCACATTTAACAAATGGTGACAGAAAAGTGATGGTAGCAGCGCCCGAGATGTGCTTTTTCTGTTTCGATGTTTTGTATTGTCATCTTCATAACCTAGACAATCCCAAAAATCCAGGGTTTACAAACGATGCATTGTAAGCATTCATTATAAAAATAGTTTATTTATAGATGTAAATTAATAAAATATTCTTTTTAAAAGTCCACTATTTGTAACTTGGAAGATTGGAAAAGATTTACGCCTTCGGGGGTGCATTGGAACTTTTAACCCCATGCATTTGCATTCAGGTGATGTAATATTCATAAATAGCTGAGAACCCCACAAAGAAAAAACATACTTAACCCTCCGTCGGGCGCAGTCCAAATATGTACAGAATCAGTGTATCTGACAGATACAGATTATAAGTATATTGACAGGAGGCTTATAGTTTTATATATTTTAATTTAATTTGCGTTTTTACAATGCTGAATATGTATATTATGTGTAAACAAAAACAAAATTTATATTAGATCAATTTTATTTTTATAATATAGCAAAATATAAAAATCCGTACATGCGCTCAAAATGCTAGACGAACAAATCTTACTTTTTCTGAAATGAATAATTTAATTAAATATATAAAAAAAATTGTCAGATTATGTTGGAATGTTTATACAAAGACTATATAAACAATTAGGATAGTAAAAACTTAGTGTTTTTTGTCATTTTGTACGTCAAATAGAATTTGGCTTAGTGCATTTTTTTAAACAAAATTGCTACTAGCAAAATATGCGAAGTTCAAAGACAATCTAATGCGGACGAATGAATAGTAGACATAAAATAACGAGGCTACTGAGATTGGAGGTCTCAATGACATCAAATTATGGAGAAATATACTAAAATGTTGGCCCTGTATATGTCAGATCGGCTGCGCCCGATGGAGGGTTAAAAGAGTCACTCTAAATTATTTAATTAATTGAAAACAGTTTCTTTGTTTTGATTCTAGTTCCCAGTTGTCAGTTTAACATTTGACAGATAATTCATTTATAGTATAAAATTGTCTATTATTATTATGAAGATCATTAAATAAAAGTTACTGCGTATAGATTCAATCTGCATTATGATTTAATCCAGTATCATAATGTATTTTCTGTAATTTTCAGGATTGCGTGAATATGCTTTGACTAGTGGTTTAAAAGATTCCCGTTTTCCCCCGATCACTCGTGATGAAATACCAAAATTAACGGTTTCTGTGTCAATTCTACAACATTTTGAGGATGCTGATGATTATATGGATTGGGAAGTCGGGGTACATGGAATTAGAATTGAATTCATAAATGAAAAGGGTAATAAGCGTACTGCAACATATCTGCCTAAAGTTGCTGTTGAACAAGGTATGTTGATCATTGCTAAACTTTAAGACATGATTTTTGTGTGAAGCACTGTTTAATAATGAGTAGTAATTGTGCTGAGTGAATATTATTAGGTTGTAAAGTTATTTGATTGCACTTCTTTATATTACAGCATTCTCACAGACATAACTTTGTATACAATGTTTCACATTTTGTTTAAATTTTAATTACTTTTGTTTTTTTAATCAAGATTGGGACCACATTCAAACGATTGATTCATTACTTCGAAAAGGTGGCTATAGAGCACATATTACTCCAGAGTTTCGCAGGACAATAAAACTTACTCGTTATCAGTCTGAGGAAATTTCAGCCAGTTATGCTGATTACATGTCATATTGGAATAAAGACAAAAGGTGCTAGCAGCGACATATAGCTGCAGTTCCAAAGCCTTTACCTACTGCAGCTTATTCGGATAACAAACATCAACCTCATTACTTTAATGGTTATACAAATGATCGCAGTAAACGAGTTCCAAATCATATGGTAGATGTTCATACAAAAACTTTCAGAAAACCCCAATATGAAAGTAAAAATAATTTGCAACCAGAGATTGCCAAATTTAATCCAACGTATCATGTTACCACAGATTCTCCAGACATTTTGGTTAAACCAATTCCTCATGTGCAAAATCCACAGATTCAACAAGCCACTTATTGGCCTATTCAAAGAAATGCTTCCGTTGTTGCATCAGATACATGGAATCTGGAACAGCGTTTTGCTGAGATAAAGATTAATTCAAATAACATAAAATCAACTCTAAATCCGAATACTGATTGTTTCTATCCCGCAAGTTACAGGTTTCCGACTAAACCTTGCACACCAAGCATGACTTATGCAAATATGCCATTGCCTAGAGTTTGTAATGGTGCCATGCCAATGTTTCCTGCCACTTACAATCATGTCATGATGGTTCAACCAACTTTTCAGCCAAACATTATTTATTCCCAAGGAGCTCGACCATCAGCCAATTATTTTCTGCCACCTCCCAATGCGGTGCATTTACCAAGTCCTTGGCTAAACCAAACTTACATCAATACAAGGCAAGACTATGCTGTTCCAGCACCATATATATCTCAAAATCAGGTACAGATGTATCCAAGCCCAGGACAATATTTGTATCCAAATTACCATGATGCAAGATATTAAAGCATTTTGTAGTTAGATTTTTTTTTAAAGATATTTAAAATGTTCTTAATTAGAATAGTTTATTTTCTAGAGTTTACATTTTAATGGTTGAAGGGACTGATTCCTTTATTATAGGATGTTACGTATATCCAAACTTATGTTAAATTTTTCTATTATAAGATTTTTATACTTTTATGTAAAAGTTTAATGATGTGCTGAATTATTGTTGTATAAAATTGATAAAGCTAAAAAGGAGAGTAGCGTTCAGTTACTTTTTATTAGAATACTATAAGTTAAATATTCACATATAAAATATTACTAATAATTGAATGAAAAATAATAAAATTTAAATAAATACGCATAAAAAAATAATTTGACTTTAAATTGGCGTTAAAACTATTTCCAATATTGGATTTTAACGTTTTTACAAATAGCTTTAACACGTCTCAGGAATAATTCAAAAGCTATATGTAATAATGTTACAATATACAGCAATATTTCAACATGAATCATGTTAGAAATTGCTTAATTTATGTGTATGATTTCGATACACATGCCACAAGGAAGCTTTGTGATAATGCATTATAATTCTTTTAAACAGAAATGATGCATCTTCTTACAACAAAATAAAGAGGGAAATAAATTAAAATTATCACTGCCGATTTCATCTCATACATTTTGTTGTGAATAATATTTCTGAATTCAGAAATAACTAAGTATTAAAAAATTTGATATATTTGTAAAATAAATTGAGATTGTTATCAAACTTATATTTATTTGCAAATAAAAGCAGCAGTTAATATCAATTATTATCTAGTACGCATTTTTATTATCGAGTGATTTATATCTTTTTATTTCTTTTAGTGATTTTTTAAAACGTTAACAAAACTCAATTGGAATCTAGCTGTTGACTGATTTTTTTATTTAGTTAGCTAATTAATCTATTTATTTATAGTATTTTCTCTTAAAATTTGTTTAAAAAAAATTATTCGATTTGTTTTAAATTACGAAAACAAGCTAATACAATCTACCAAACGATTTTATGTCTTAATCGCTTGAATCAAGTCACTCTAGAAAAATAATGATTATAATAGATAGATATTGCATTATAAAACGACTTGCTAATTTTATGTCTTCTACGTTTCAAGAGATCATTATTCGAGATTATTATAACATTGCTAAGTTTGACATCAAAATTAAACTAACTGTAAGATGCGTTTTCCTTTAACTCGAGTTGTATGAACCTCCCGATACATGTAATAATAGTCATTATCAAGAAATTGAGATTTACTACATAAATATAAATTTCAACTATATATTCGAAAACCAAGTTCTCGCTTTGACTAAACTGGTCAATCATATTAATAATCAATACACTCTATTAATATATTGCAAACAAGTATATTAGTTCAGACTATGAAGTCGATCATCATCACAATCATTAAGAAAAAATCTGGATTAATTACAAAGAAACGACCCGGCTGATATAAACCAAACTGAATCAGCACCATTCCCAACTGATCTTATAAACTTGTTTTAAAATTGCAAAATCGGTAGAGGATTTTTTGCGAAAACGTTGGAATTCTAAAGAAACGGCTCAACTGACTACAACGCTAATCGAGTTTATCAAATGGTTGTTAAATTTTTGAAGTATTTTTGTTCATGAGAAAATTGTTTTGTATCATAAAGTTTTTCTATTTTTTTAAATGTAAATATAGTAAAAATTCAATAATAATCCTTGTAATAAAATTTGGTATTATATACCAATAGAAGAAATACTCGTACGTATAAGATTCATATTAAAGTCTTATAAGGTCAACAACGAGCAAATTAATCTTATAAGACTCCAATATGAATCTTATAAAACTTCAATATGAATCTTATCTGTATAAGATGAATGAAGTTTTGTCGGTACAAGAATTCTCTCTTATTGTAAAGAATACAAAATATAGGAAATAAATATCTGATAATGTACGACTTGGAACAGAAATTCTAAATTTACCAAATATTAAAACTGTAAAAACTCTTAAGCCAAGCTAATTAACATTGATTCGAACTGATCACGATCAAAAATCCTTGAAAATGAATGGCATTTGATACAATTTATTAACAATTTTAGTACTTACAAAATAATAGCTATTTACCAGTACACAAATTTTTTACTGCACAAAAACTATTATCCACTACTTTTCAGAACTCGATCAAAAACCAATTTTGCAAAATAGTAAATTCCACTACTTAATTATCACTGCACATTTCAGCGACCAATAACTTATTAAATATTTATAAAATCCTTTAACTTTATTCACCAAATTGCAGACGATTACTGTCTATGGGCTTCCGTTAAACTAACGGCATGAAGATATAAATGAAAGGAAGGTAAACTGCCGCCATCTATGCGTGGTTGATATAATTTGTGTGTTGATAAAGGAAATGTATTTCAATGACGGAAAACCTAACTAAATCTGTACCTTTTACATGGCTATATAAGTTGCTAAAACTTCCCGTACCGTGATTAAAAATCTTGGTCTGGAACCCAAAAAAAAAAACCCAAAATGTGTATTTACACTTTAAAATCTCTATAAAATATCTGATAAAATGATATACATATGTCCAATAAACATTTTTTAATACCAACCTGATTTCACCAACTCTACTTTCAATAAGTACACAGTAAGACTCTTTTGCGCTAACTTTGTTAGTTTACAAATGTTTTGTGGCTAGTTTGTATCATCATTAGTAATTTTATTGTAAACTAATAAGTTAAAACTTGAAAAAATTGTATGTTTGTATTTATATAATATTTAATGGCTTCACGTGTTGCAGGAATGTAGAACTAAATTTTTTATCAGAATTTAAAAGCAATTCAACTAAACTATTATGATTTTATTAGAAAATTGCTTTTGTTAATAAATTTCAAAATTATTCATGTATATGAGTGATATATAAATAAAACAGTAAAAATTTGTCTGTATATTTAAAAATGTAAAAATATTTAACAAATTTTATACCTGAGAAAGGAAATGCAAACAAGTGTACTGTAGAACACAGGTTAGTGGAAGAAAATAAAATTTATTCTACACCAAATTTATTTATTTCAATAACCAACGACTAATTCATTGCAGTGTAAATTTTTAGAGAGTTTACTAAAAGAATGTAATATCGTTATTTAATTTATAAAACCCTTAATGTTAAAATTGAAGATTCAAATAAACGTCGTTTCGATTTCAAAACAGAAGAGGCGTTCGAGTTTCTGAAACGCCATCTTCGACCGAGCGAACGTGCACGCTTTGCAGTCGCACGTCTACAGGTCTTTTGCACATCTATGCTTTGCGACTCTAGGAGTTGGGAGAGGCAGTTGTCATTGCGAGTGAGAGTTCATTTCCATCGTGGCGATTGCTGGAAGAAGACAACGGGACGTCGTCGAACACGGACGAACGGGCCTGACCCTTCGCTGCCTGTGGAAAACATGCGACCTGCGAGCGTCACCTGGTACGTTGCACTTGTGCTGATTATATTTCTCTTTAGGTTTTAAGATGTTTTAGATTTAATCGAGACCTTTACTCATTTCTGTTTTTTTTTTGGAAAACGTGTGCTCGATTTATATAGTTTTTGCTCAAGTCGTACTACTGTCTAAGACGTACGCCGGATATATTTTATCTAATCATTTTATTTTGCATCATTTGGTGAACACTGTTAAATAAAACTACATATTATTTTGTTGACTGAGCAAGACTTCACAATTGAATGGCTGGCGGTCATTGTGCAGAAGAAATAATCGAAAGTAATAGTAAAAAGTTGTGAAAGTAAAAAATAATGACTGTTAATTCATTATGAGAATTATTGTGAGTACATTTATACGGATCGTTTAATTTGAAGTCTTATTTACATCTTTATCATCTGCTAATTCACTTCAATTTATAGATCAGAAGTATTGTGTAAATTGGACCACAATCATCATGTCATCAAGAATTTTAAAGCAAAATTACTTTTCCATGAAAGCCATTTTTTGTTTTAAATGCATAATTTTATTTCTTTTACTTGAAAAAAAGTTACAAATTGACAAAGAATAGTTACAATTTGAATGAATATAAAGATGCAAACGAAGACTATTCTGTGCTGGAGCGCTGCATTGCACACGAAGACAGCTTTGGTGACGCATCAACAATGACATTTAATAATGTATGTATAATCAACTAAATTCAATAATAATTTGTGTATTTTGCAGGTGCCGGGTAGGTTTGCGTTTGCTGCGTTTTTATACGAAAATTGTTACTGTGACGCTCTGAATGTGGTATTTATTGGAATTGCATTTGGCACGAATAGATTTATTAAGCGGTGATTTTGTTCAAGATATTAATTGATCAATATTATAGTTGTCACTATAACTTTTAGAAATTTACAAAATCATTAAGGCATTGAATTTCATGATTCGAATGATCACGATATGTCTTGCATGTGGGTTAATTTATTAGTTAGGTAGCATCAGTAGTTTTATTATTAATAATAACAAATACTAATACACTAATCTATTCAATTATTGAAAAATAATGTGGTCATTTGAATCATTTGAGATTATGCAATGTGGATTTGACATATTACATTAAATTTTAATTTTCACTGTTTTCAATTCATGTTAATGCATTTCATAAAAACCAAGTGCAATTCTTAAACTGCTAGTAAATTTCTACATTCTATTTCTGGTCATCAAGATGAAATCACATGGAGGCCACAAGATACCATATCAAGCAAATTGTTGAGTATCGAATGGCCAAGTATCGAGTGAAAATTCAACACTGACTCACTTCACCGGGAAACGCTCTGAAAATAATTTAAAAAGTACGTTTTTATCCATAATCAGTATAAATGTAAACAATAAATAACATGTTTATTTTTTTCCAGGTCCTTTCAACCATTGCTGCTCTGTACACTGACCCCTTCACCAGGAATCGCTCTGAAAATAATTTAAAAAGTACGCTGTTATCCATAATCAGTATAAATGTAAACAATAAATAACATGTTTATTTTTTTTTCAGGTCCTTTCAAATACTGCTGCTCTGTACACTGACCCCTTCACCAGGAATCGCTCTGAAAATAATTTAAAAAGTACGTTTTTATCCATAATCAATATAAATGTGAACAATAAATAACATGTTTATTTTTTTTTTCAGGTCCTTTCAACTACTGCTGTTCTGCACACTGACCCCTTCACCAGGAATCGCTCTGAAAATAATTTAAAAAGTACGTTTTTATCCATAATCAATATAAATGTGAACAATAAATAACATGTTTATTTTTTTTTCAGGTCCTTCCAACTACTGCTGTTCTGCACACTGACCCCTTCACCAGGAATCGCTCTGAAAATAATTTAAAAAGTACGTTTTTATCCATAATCAATATAAATGTGAACAATAAATAACATGTTTATTTTTTTTTCAGGTCCTTTCAACTACTGCTGTTCTGCACACTGACCCCTTCACCAGGAATCGCTCTGAAAATAATTTAAAAAGTACGTTTTTATCCATAATCAGTATAAATGTGAACAATAAATAACATGTTTATTTTTTTCCAGGTCCTTTCAACTACTGCTGTTCTGCACACTGACCCCTTCACCAGGAATCGCTCTGAAAATAATTTAAAAAGTACGTTTTTATCCATAATCAATATAAATGTGAACAATAAATAACATGTTTATTTTTTTTTCAGGTCCTTTCAACTACTGCTGTTCTGCACACTGACCCTTTCACCAGGAATCGCTCTGAAAATAATTTAAAAAGTACGTTTTTATCCATAATCAATATGAATGTGAACAATAAATAACATGTTTTTTTTTTTTCAGGTCCTTTCAACTACTTTGGCTCTGCACTTTGACTCCTTCACCAGGAATCCTTCCTGAAACATTTTACCAAGTATGTGATTTATCCATAATCAGTATAAATGTGAACAATAAATAACATGTTTATTTTTTTTCCAGGTCCTTTCAACCACTGCTACTCTGCACACAGACCCCTTCACCAAGAATCTTTCCAGAAACATTTTACCAGGTATGTGTTCATCCATATTAGTATAAATGCGAACATTCCTATAATGTTTCTTTCTTTTTTTGCAGATCTTCTCGATCCAACTATTACTGAAGCCTCAAATTCAGGAGCTTCCAAGCTCCTGAACACTCATTCATGTGAATGGCTCGCAAGTGGTTTTTTTTCAATGACTGTCTATAATTATGCATGATTAACTTAACTCTTATTAACTCAATAACATGACTAACCTAACTAACTTAATTATGCAGTTATTATAAAAACCACTTGTTGAGATTTACTATGAAGGTCTTAATGGGGTTACGTGGAAGACACCGCTCCATGATTAATCAGGTAATTTATTCTTTATAGTATATTTTATGAGACTTGTTACTAATTCATTGTTTTCGTTTATAGGGTAAACAACTTCAAGCCAAGTGCTCTTCAACGCTCAAGTTGCTCATGAGTGAGAACAATCATTTGATCTACTAATTATGCTGTCCGTCCGTCCGTCCGTCCGTCCGTCCGTCTCTTCACCAGAGAAGATGCCTACTATGATATATTAAATAGTTAAGTGCTTAGATGTTAATGATTTAATGAATAAATATATTGTATTTAATTTAATTTGTTGTTTTAATTTAATTATGAGCCACTTCACGGCTAAATCACATCATGCTGTAACGTAAATTACAGAAATATTTAAACATGTCTACATTTTAAAAATTTCTTGTGTTATTAATAGGGATACTTATTGAGTGCACTCTTTAGTGTAGTCAATTGTGTAGAACAGTTTCTTCACTGTTTGGGTGTTTGCAAACATCTTGCCGCATCTTGGTAAAGCTCTTTATACCTTTGCTTCGACTCGGTAGAACTCTGCGTCATTGCTTTGACTCGGTAGAAACGCGTTGACAATAGACTTTGCTTTTTTCCAAACCATTATGTTAGTCGAGTGCCTTAAACATTTAATGTGTCAAACCGATGTTTTCTCTTGTTTAAATATTATACTTTCTATTATTTCTTTAAATGGCGCACTTTTTTTTCTTAGCTATAAATATCACTTAATTTAATACACGGTTTGAAAATTGAATATTTTTAATTTTTTATACGATTTTATTCCATTTAGCACGATTTCAAATTTTATGTACTTAAATTTTTTTTGTCATATTTAATTTTTGCGAAGTATGTTCATATCACAAAAAGTATTTATGAAAGTGAAAAGTCTGAAATCATCGATAGTATCGATAGTTTGCGAACACTAGCTTAAAGATAAACAATTTTTACTGGTCAAAGCGAATGCGAATAACTGATGACGACAGCAATTAAATTTATGTTGTTGTATTTATGATTATCACTTATTCTATTTTATTTTATTTTTTACCTTAAAAATTGAATAACCTATTCTTTTTGTTCACAACATATTTTTTTAGTTCCTGAACTTGCTATATTACTTTTAATTTATATTACTTTTAAGATTAGAGTGCATATCTTTTTTATCATTAATTATTATTGAAAATAAGCATTATATATTTGATTTAATAAAATAAATATGAATTCTTGTTCTTAAAAATTCTTGTTTTTCACTAATTTTAATAGGTTTTAGAGATTAGGAACAAATCACCCATTTTTGTATAAGATCAATGTCTTTTTTTACACGGCTTCTTCTGGAACCAATCTACCGTGTAAAAACAGACTTAGGTGTATATATATATAATAATAATAACACAGTATGTAACAATAATATATATATATATATATATATATATTATACAATTAGACAAATGTTAATGTATTTTAGTCATTTTCATTACTGCAATTGTAAGAATAAATTAATATAATTGTATTATTAAATACTGTGCTACATTGATTGGAAGTTTTGAATAAAACTAACTAAACTTTATTTGAAGTGTTTCATTTCACACAATTTTCAGTGATATATGTTAAAAACGCACCGTATAGGTATAGGTATTATAAACATCAATATATTTGTTGATGTTATCATAAACACTAATATACTCATTAATTCGTTTTTCGGCGATGATTTATTATTTTGAATGAATTTCATAAAATATATTACAATTTTTGTAATCTAATTCTATTATGATCAATAAAGTTGATGAAGTTATGACTTTGACCATTTTAAATAGACTAATCTATGGTTTTTCACTCATTTCAAACATGTCAAAAATGATAACACCTTTCACTCACTTCAATCATATACTATTATTCAAAGTGTTTAATTAGTTCATTTTAATTAATATACTTTTAATATTGGTCTGTTTTACTTAACTTTGGACATAGGTAATGAAGATTATTTATTTTTTTCCTCTTTAGCACAATGATATCTTCATTTTTATTGAGATAATTTATTTTTATTAGATTATTTTATTACTATATTAATTGTATTAATTTCCCGCGACACGTTTACGCTACCACCCTTCTCCTTACTTTATACTACCTTACCTAATGCTTATCTACGCGTTAAGAACTAATATTCTTACCTTGCTTACCTCTACCACGTCTCGAACCTGCTACCACGTCCTCTCCAGTGACTCCCAGCTCCTAACGCGCGACGCCACGACGATCACGTTAATAAACCGTTGCAAAGTAGATGATATTGTATATTTTATACGATTAAAAAACTAACAGGTCATATGGCCAAAAAAAAGTTGATTTTGTGTGGCCTGTGTTGGCGTAATGGATAGATTGATGGCTTCGTACCATAAAGGTACCGAGTTCGAATCATACCTCAGGACAAAAAAAAATATTGTTCACGTTGTGGTATTTATTTAGTGTTGAATAACACAAAATTAATATTTAGATATAACAAACTAACAAGTCATGAGGCCGAAAGAAAGCAAAATCGATGTGGCCTGTGCTGGCGTAATTGGTAGAGCGATGGATTCGTACCCAGAGAGTGCCGAGTTCGAATCGAACCTCGGGACAAAAAATGGAAAGCGTGGAGTTTATTATTTATTGTAAGATAGCACAAAGATAAAATTTGGATTTAATAAACTAACAGGTCATGAGGCCGAAAAAAAGCAGATTCGGTGTGGCCTGTGTTGGCGTATTGCTAGCGTGCTAGCTTCATGTCAACAGGGTACCGAGTTCGATTCATACCTCCGGACACAAAACGCAAAATAGCGTGACTGTTGACGCTGTGGAACGAGGTATGCACGGAATCACATCCGTTCGAATTTGAGACCCCAGGCATGCTCCCCTCGATCTCGATTGAGAGGAGAGATACGCGCGAGAATCCCGCAACATCCCCTAATAAGCCCCGCAGCATCCCCAAAAAGGGAGAGGGGGGACTATAGGGGGGTGTGGGGTTCGCGAACCCGCGACCCTGTGGTCCAACCCTCCCGAAAAAGGGAGAGGGGGGACTATAGGGGGGTGAGGGTTCCGCGCGACGACCACCACTGGGTCGCGCCGGTTGAAAAGCTGGGTGCGTCACAGGTTGGGTCGGTGTGCGAGTTCCCGGAGCACCCTCTCGAGTGCAATGATGGGGATGTGGGGTGAGGGAAATGCAGTGACGAGGAAAAAAGGGGTGGCGGGGAGAGA